TTTTCTTCCCCCCCCCCGGGGGGGGGGGGGTGGAGAGCATATTTCTACTTTCTCCATCCTGTAGCATATTGGAAACTGCACTCTGTGTATGGTGGTGGTATAACCATCTTTATCCTTTATGGCCCTTAAATTGCTTTGTCTTTTTTATTTTATTTTAAAAACTGCAGTTTTTCTTGTTATGTACAAGGATGATTTAAATATGGAAGATTATATTGCTTTGTTGCATAGATCTTTATTGGCATTTATTCTTTTGTTTCTGGTTCTTTACCTAGAAGAAAAGATCATCTGTAATATTCTTAATCTTTTGTTTTGTTTAGGGACTCGAAGGAACCAGAATATTGTTTACATGCCATGGTTTCAATTCACAGGCTAGTAACAGATGTTTCCCTGTTGAATATGCATTTTATTTTGAATTTTCTCCACCTTATCATTTCTTCCAGCTGAAATTTGCCGGAAAAACTACATATTGTTTGTTGTGGAGTTTATGTTTACATTTTCCATGTCAATCTTGTAATTATTGGATGTGCTGTGTGTGTTATAGGGTATTGAGAAACCAGATAAATTGGCCTTATGTGGGCTTGATCCTTTAAGACTCCATCGCCCTGATCGTTTACAAGACAACACTAACACACAACTTGTCAATATTTTAAAGGTGTCCTCTTTACTCTTGTATTCTTTATTTTTCTCCTACTTTCATCTCTATAACAATTGCAAGGTGATATTGAAAAAGTCATTGGAGCTTTCTTTTCAAGGTTTATTTTTCCCTTATTCTGGAAGACACTTAGGAAGTCTTGAATTTTGACCAGTCTGGTGAATTTAGATATTCATTAAAGTCTGTGTCTCAGAGGAAGGCTTAGTTATTTATGTTTCTAGTGAGTGGTGACCTAATTTTGAGCTTTAGTCAATTCTCAGCAACATTTGCTGTCATGGATCTGATTCTTCCTTTTGTGAAGGGGGAGGAGGGTTGTAATCTTGAGTTTATATTTATATTAAATTACTTTGTTGGCAATTGTGAAACTCCTTAGCAAATTATACATTAACCATTTGTGACACTGTTAAAAGGCGACAACTAATCGCCTTGCATTTAAAAAGAAAAACAAGAGGACAAATTTCCCTAAGGTTCCTGATGGAAGAATGAGAGCCTTGCATCTTCATACTATTTGAAAAATGAGTATGCATGTCTTGCGATGTTTATAAACTCTGCTTAGTCATTGAGCATTTAATATGAAGATTTCAACTAGTTATTATCTGACCCATCTCATGGGATAGAATAAATGTTTGTTCTTGCAGGTTAGTCAATGTTAACTTCTTTTCTAGATTATACCCCTCAAGCTGCAATATTATTGTTGAATAACATCATATACTGTATCACAAAGTGTATTTTATTTTTTCAGACTATACGAGTATTTTCTTGTTACTGTCCACCATTGAGTCTTCCATCTAACTTGCAGGGTGGAGTTATCTATTCAAATAGAGTTGTAATAATGTCATCTATCTATCCAAAGCACATATTTGTTCATAATTTGAGTCATGAACTGGAACCTACTTTAAATGTTTATAGGTAAGTATACTGTCATAACATACTTTCACTCTGGTTTAATGAGGTTTTTTTTTGTCTTTTCTTGCAAATCAATATTAATTTGAAATTGTTAACATAGCTAATGGGCTGGTTGATAAATATATAGTTTATTTTTTTTTAAATAGTGCCCCTTGTTAAGTTTAACAATGTTTTTTACACTAAAGCCTCCTCCCACTGGCTTTCCCTTAGTATTCAACATGGAAAATTACATTTGGTTGCAGGGATAAATTGGTTATTGCTCCTTATGGATTAGACAAATCAACTTGGGATCCTTTAACAGACTATTTTCTTCCAGAAAATTTCAATGCTGAAAATATGAATGGTAAAGCTGTTTGCAAAGTTGCATTGCTGCAGCAGCTGGGGCTATCTGAACATTCTTCTACTATTCTTGTAAGCAGATCACCCCTTGCTCCTTTCTTATTTCTGTGCCATGTTAAGTGTATACAAGGAGAAACTTAGTGATCCATTATGTTTCTTTTATATGCAATTCCTGCTTTAGAACTGCTCATCTATAAGATACAATGAAGTTGCACTTTTGTTAACTTTAGTTTTAGCATTCTTGAAATAATTAGTTTGGACAGTTGCATGACTATTGTATAATTTTATGTGTATATTCCTCTCACTTTATCTTCAGCAAGATTTTAATATAATACTTTTTAGCATTGTATCAATTGGATCTTCACTAAAATTTACATATAGAATAAGCATAGTGCCAAATTCACCTTACAAGATCTGAATTTCTGCCTAAACCTCTAGGACAGATTTGTGGAAATAAGCAAACACTAGAGAGGATGAATTGGGTTGCTCTCAATTCCCCCAACAAACAAGTATAATGTTATGAATGTCTTCTGCTCTTCTTTAGGTTCTTCCTAAACTGATTAGTGAGCCTCCTATTGCTCCTCCAATTGGTGACACCTCTGTCCTTGTCTCCCAAAGCAGCAATCTGGGTCCCTCTCGGGGTGGCCAATCCACACAAGAATTGTTCTAAGTTTGATCATTGTAATCATCCAAGGCATATTATTGATTGCTACTAAAAATTAAATAGCAAACCTCCATGCCTTGCCAATGTCGTCCAAACACATCCATCTCACACCCAAGGCAACTAATCACCCTTGGGTCACCCCTGCCACATATGAAGATTTTCTCTAGCGGTATGAGAATTGCTAGAAGCCCGAGACTATTGCTTCACACTAGTAATTCATTTTCTTGCATATCTCAGTCTCCTTCCCTTGGTTCTTGAGTTCTTGACTTTAGTATTACTTCAGCCAATGGTTCCTGTACAGTTCCCAAACCTAGTCCCTAGGGATTGGCTCTATCCATCCCCTCCCTTCCTTGACTCTTTCCTTTATGTAACTGGTTGTTTGTTTAATTTGTTTTTTGTTGTCCATCGCTTAACCTACTTTCATGATTATTTAATTACCTTTACTAAAGACTTGGGGAAATTATTTAATTTGTTAACTTCAGGGTATCAAGGAAGGGAGGGGATGGGTAGTGCCAATCCCTTGGGACTAGGTTTGGGAACCATTGGCTAAAGGAATACTAGGTAAATAATCATATGTAAGAAGACGAAATTGGGGAGAAGAGGGGCTTTTGTGTAAAGGAAATTTGGATTCAGGGAGAATTAACTCCGAGAAATTCCACAACCAGTAGCAGGGAAACCAAAATTAGGAATGGTATCCATTGCCAATAGAAGGAGAAAATAACAGAGAAAAATTAAGAGTTATATTTTTTGTGTATGGTAAAAACTCCACTGAGCCCACAAGGCCATGTTAAAAGGCATCAGGCAGATACAACAATATTCAGAAAAGAGATTATAAAAAACCTCTCCACTACCTACTGCCACATCAGCACCCTAAAACAACAATAACTCATGAAACCGAAAATAAAGCTGATGACAAATGCATAATAACAACTACTAAAAGTAAAACTAAACCATAGGGTAAAGATAAAATGTTACAGCATTGTAATTACTGTAACAATACCCTCTCATTCAAGTGCAGCCTTGTCCTCAAGGGTGAAAATTAGGAAATTGTTTGAGCAGATCATAATAGAACACCCAAGTAGCCTGTTCTAGAGGTAAATTTTTCAAATTAACTAGCACCTTAGCAGCAGGGATGCGCCCCCTTTTAACCACCAAGTTTCGTTGTAGTAATTTGATATCGTCATCAGGGATTTGGTGATACTATTAATTTCCTATCTTGTTTACGGAGAACATGTTTGAAATATTGATTTAAATTTATAATATAGCAAATAAAAGAAATATTACAAATATAGAAAACTTTATATGAGAGAGAGATTGGATTCAAATGTACTTTCTAACTCCTTTAATCTTTATCAAATAAATATGATTCCAATTCAATTACTTCCACGTTCATTAAATAACTCAACCAGATTCTTCAAAATTGAGTTCTAAGGTGATTAATCTTAAACATGATTTCTCTATGATTTAAGATCAACACCTTGCATTAAGAACAACAACTTGAACAAAAGTGGCTAACAAAATCAAGTCTATTCCTAGAACAAGAGATTGTTAGGTGTGTGATTCAGTTCAGGTTTTCGAAAACGTTTCCCAATAGAGTTCAAAAACCAAATATCATAAAACGGGTGATCAAACCGAATTAAGCATTAAAATAAGAATCAAACACAAGTAATGGAATGGAATATCATATAGATCTAAGAAGAAACAGAGTTAGTAGTTACAATGAATCCAATCCAAAAGAAACTAGCCGCTCATGGTGAGGGCCATAACAAATAAAAAGATGAAATTACACTATAGAAGAAGTGAAGACGGGTCCTCGTTCCCAAGCAATCCAATATTCAAATCTGATCTTCACGCTCTCCCGTTCTTCTGGAGTTTCTTTCTCTATTTGTGTCTTCTCTGTCGGTCTTCTGTCTCTTTAATCCCTTATATATGTTCTATCCAAAACAGTGGAAAGTTGGGATTTTTAACCCAAGGCTACAGCTCTAGATGTGTGGTTGTGGCTCCAGAAAGTACTTCAAGACAAAGGAAGCTCCAGATCTGTAGCTCTGGAATGGGGGTCGTAGCTTTGAATGTCTAGATTGGCCAGAATGTTCTATTTCCCAAGGTTGGAGCTCTGGCTTCATGAGTAAAGCTTCAACTCTCTGGAATACTTCTTTTTGGCTCAAGTTCTGTGGCTGCAGATCTGGCTTTGGAGCTATAGCCGTAACCCTCTGGAATACTTCTTTTTGGTTCAGGTTCTGTGGCGGCAGCTCTAGTTTTGGAGCTATAGCCTTAGATTTCTAACTTCATCAAAATCTACACAAAAGAAAGATATTTTTGGTCAAAGAAAACTATACTATTGTAACTTCTTAGATTAATCTTAATTTATCTATTTAGGGGTCAAATACAACCAAAATTAATTACATCTCTCCCAAAAAGAGTGCCAAATCAAGGATAAAAACATGTAATTTAGGCACTTATCATCTCTGCCCAGTTGTAATTACTGTAACATTTTGCCTTGGAAAGATTTGTGGAGCGAAAGGAAGCCATGATTAGAAACAAGAGGTTAGAAAAAGTTAACAAGATAGTACCTTGTCAGAAAGTCGTTGGCAGCCGGTGGATTGGAGTGGCAAACCAGGTTAGAACACAGTTGCCAAAAAAATGTCATCGAGAACAATGGATCCATTGGGTAGGCACAATTTCTAGAGTTTCCTCAACCTTGCTTTAGATACCATATTTAAAAGAAGAAAAATTAAATGGTGTAGTTGCTAAAAGCCTGAAACCTTATGTAAAATGACTCCACGAAGCTTGATTTATATAATTAATAGGAGGTTTTGTTATAATTAATACAATTGATTATAGGAGGTTTTGTTTCTGATTTTCAATAAGGCTTATGTTTTTCACAGAAATCTCTTGTAAACCATAACTTTTCTGACTGGTATACAATGTCATGAATTATGTACATGTCATTTTACTTGGATTTTCTGCTCATTAGTTATTACTGAATTTTTTATCAGGTTGGATGCGTTTTTTCAGAAGGATGTGACTTTGATGAAAAAAGGGTGAAGGAAGTTATCTTGAATGCTAAGCAGCACGATGTCCAGGTGCCATCTCTGTGGAGCTTATTTATTTATTTATTTATTTTTCCACAAAAAAGTGTAGTTTCATTGCTTATAAGACTTTCTCATTATATGATACTAGATCTAAACATATATGAATATGAATTTTTATCTGTTTGCTAATAGGAGAAACATAATCTTTATTGTCCCTTGCATTTTCATAATGAAAATAAAGTGTTATAAAATCTCAAAGTAAATTGACGTTGTATGAAATGAATCTGGCCATGGAAAATTCTTGTTTCAGGATTTCCTGTTTAAAAGAATAATTATTCTTTGCAGTTTATATTTATGGGGACCAGTGAAAGCACAATCTTGAATCAGGCACTTGAATCACTTCAGAAGGAACTCAAGGTAGTTCCCAGACTGTCATCTTTTTAGTTTCTGTGGCTTATCTGGTCATATTCATTATTCAGCAGAAATTTAAATTATCTGGTCATAAAGCTGCATTATTTTGACACTATGTTCTAAAGGGGACATATTTAGTGAGAGCATGAGAGGTGGAAAGAGTTAATTTTGACCATACAACCATACAAAGATGGTCAAAATTGTTTAATTAGTTCAAATATTAACTATTTATTTTAGTTATACAGTTGAGATGCATTCTTTTCACGCTCTCTTGATACACTTCCATGTTTTAGAAAACCTTAGTTAATAATATTTACTTTTCCTTGTCTGCTACTATTGACCCGCCATTCCATTAAAAATCTGCAGGATGATAATCTTAAACTTGTGCCTACATATGATGAAGCATTGTTGCATTTAGTCTTTGCTGGATCTGACATCATCTTGTGCCAATCTTTTCTTGATCCTACTGATGAAACTCCAGTAAGATCATTCTATCCACTTAAGTGATGATTTTCCCCCACTAATTTAGCACCTCGAGTAAAACACGTAGGAAGTTGCCTGTTTCTAAAAGAAATTGAAGTCGCTATAAAACTTTATTTTGTTATCTTCATGAGACACTAAATATTGCCACTGTGGAGTTTGATAATGGTATAGATGCTAAGACAATCCGTTCCTTCCTCTTTTTTTGGCCATTTGATGTGGAAAATGTAATGTAATGCACATAACTATTTTACTTGAGAAAAGTCTGTTTTTCACTTTTTCTATTATATGTGGAACCTTATTTTCCTTGTGTTCTGATGGTTGGCCTTTGATGTTTATCAACTTGCACAATATTTATTTATTTATTTTGTAATATAGTATTAAATAATGCACTCTAAGCAAATTTTGTTTCGAGTAGAGTGGAGATTTTCATGTATATCAACTGAATCATACATTTTTTATGACTTGACTGTGTAGCTCATAGCTTTAAGGTATGGAGCAGCTCCAATAGCACTTGCCCCTGATGCTAGCACAAACAGGTAGTCCATAAATATATTTTTGGTACACGAAATTTTTTTCTCTATACTTGTTTAACACTCATTTCATTTATATATTGCATCTACAAGGGCGATACCTTTTGATAGGAACTTCATAAACCAAGACAACGAGGCCACCAAGTACTCCAAGTTAATCAACTCTACCTTTGGAAACATGTCTCTTAGCCTTGCTATTGATGAAATTGTATGTAGTTTGTGGTGGTTTTTCCTTATCAAGTTTTACACTATTCTAGAAAAGATATCATCTCTGGTTATGATACATTACTTAAATGACTTTCCTTCACCTGTAGAGGACTAACCCAGTGATGTGGAAACGAAAGATAATGCAAGCAATGGCGCATGACTTATCATGGGATGGTGAATGCTACGATGTTCATGTTGCATCTTACTCAGCTATAAAGAATATGTGAAGTGGGTCTGACATACATCTTTGTATATATATAATCATTTTATGTTTAATATTTTGAGATATGGCTGAACTGCAGAATAATTATTTGTTATTTGTAAGTTAATTGCTCCTCAAACTCATTTGTGGATTCAAGACCTACTATATATAGCAAAATAGAAATGTTGAAAACAATGATTAGTGAATTTAATATATAAAATTATAGAGTGGAAAATCTCACTCTCACTATAGTATGGTCCACTGTTCAAACTCTTCTCTTGTAAAATCTGTTGTATAGTGAACAATGATATACTGAGACAAGGAAAATCCGTCACAACGAGAATGAAGGGCTTGGAAGCGTAATATTAAGCTTTCCCATGTTTAGGGGCAGAATAATGCAATTATGATACATTTTATATTTCGAGAGGAGTCGAATAGGCCGAATAAATTATCAATGTTTGTTCTCTTTACAATAAAATGTATTCTATTTAACTCGTGAAACAAAATATTTTTATAAAAAAAAAAATGAGAATCTCGTGTATTTTGTAGTTTCAAGAACAGCGGAATGGTTCTAATATTTAATGGGTCATGAGAAAATAATAAATAAGACCCTTTATATATGCATATGAATATTCAGCACGTAAACGTATGTTGAATAAGAAATTAGACACAAAATTTCATCCAAAATAATACATTTTAGTTTAAAATATTTTTTAAAATTTTTTATAGTTTTACTTATTTTACTTTTTAGTTCTTATAATTTAAAAGATTTTTTTTAATTTCTATATTTTTTATTCTTTTTTAGTTCCAATAGTTTTTTAATTCGTGTATTTGTAGTTTTTTTTATAATCTTTTTAGTTTTTGTTATTTTTTGAGTGTAACATTGTCTCTTTTGTGCTTATATGATAATATTAATTTAATTTTGTAGGCAAAACACCTAATTTGGTTCCTTATAATATTTAATAGTTTCAATTTCGTCCTTCTATATTTTTTTGTTTCAATTTGGTTCCTAATAAATTAAATTGCTACAATGTCGGACTTTCGTCCAAATGATTTAAACGCCGTTTGTGCATTTTCCACGTGAAAAAAAAAAGATAATTTCTTTTAATTGAGACGTGGATTTCCAACGTGGAAGAAGAGATTTTGTTTCCCAAAATCGCGAGAGAGAAGAGAGAAGATAGAACTCTTGATCCATTCGTTCATAGGAGAAAGAGTTGTTCTTAGGGTTTAGGATTTGGAGAAGAAGAAGAAGTCGCATGCATTGGCAATTGATTTGAAGAAGAAGAAGCCACGTTTGTGTGTTGTTGTAATCGTGTATGTATTTACTTTAGGGTTTTTTGTTTTTTCCTTTCACGTTTGATTGAGGGGTCTTATTGGGTGAATTTAGGGATATGGGTGAGAGTGGGTCTGGGTTATGAGTTGCGTTTTGATGTTTATTGGATAGATTTTGCTTTTGGTGTGGTCCCAAACAATGGGTTCGTGGCAATTTGTAGTGTATTTTGGTTACCGTATGAAAAAATCTTGTCCATTTGTTTCATTTTGTTGTGTGGCCCCGAAAAATGTTGTTGTGTGTTGTGCATATATTGGCCCCACTGAGTTTTATTAAGGAGTATCCAAAACTAAAATTGAATGATATTAGAGAAAGAGTATAGAGAAAATGGAATGCTAGCATCTCTAAGGCCATGGCATGTAGGGTTAAGAAATTTGCAAAGAGTTATGTTGAAGGGTCTTTCAAAGAACAATTTAAGAGGATCTATGACTACAATCATGAGCTAATCAGATCTAACCCAGGTTCTACAGTGAAGGTGAAGGTTGATGACAATCAAGATTGTGAGAATAATGTTGGGAATAATGTTGAAGGGCCTAGTAGAGTACTTGCAACCTTTCAAAGAATGTATGTCGTTTTTCAATTTTTCAAACAAAGTTTCTTAAAGTGTAGACCCATAATAGGCTTAGATGGATGTTTTCTAAAGGGTTATTATGGTGGCCAATTATTGGCAGCAATTAGAAGAGATCCAAATAAGCAAATGTTGCCAATATGTTTTGCAATTGTTGAAGGCGAGACTAAAGACTTATGGGAGTGGTTTTTACACCTCCTAATTTCTGATCTTTGAGGATTTTCAGCTTGTGTCAATTACACATTTATTTTTTATCAGCAAAAGGTACAATTTTATTTTTGTTTACTAATATAGTTGAGAATTATTATATTGATTGATTCTGTGTGTAATATTTATTTTGTAGGGGTTGCTGCCAGCAATCAATGAATTGTTGCCTGGTTCGATCAGAGGTTTTGTGTTAGACACCTTTAGAATAATTTTAGGAAGAAGTTTCCTGGAAAAAATTAAAGGATTTGATGTGGAAGGCAGCTATAGCCACATATCCTCAAGCATGGGCAACATATGAAGCTGTATATCAATCAATGATATATCCAGTAAATGGCCAACAGCTCTAGATGAAGACATGGTGCCCTAATGTTCTTCCACCGCCAAGTAAGAAAATGCCAGGACACCCAAAGAAAAGAAGAAATTTGGAGTCATGGGAACTGAAGAAGGCTGACACTCAATTGAAAAAAAAGTGGATATAGGAGAAAGTGCAGTAGGTGCAAGAGTTTTGGCCATAACAAATCAACCTGTAAAGAAAACCTAAGTAATACACCAATACCACATGAAACACATCAACCCACCCAACCATCTGAACCCACCCAACCATCTGAGCCGACCCAACCATCTGAACCCACTCAACCATCTGAACCCACCTAACCATCTAAGCCGACCCAACCATCTGAACCCACCCAACCCTCTCATCCCACCAACCATCTGAGCTGACCCAACCATATGAACCCACCCAACGCTCTCATCCCACCGAACCATCTCAAACATCTAAGCCAAAGAACAATTTAAGGGACAAGTTGAAGCCTAGGAAAGCACGACCACACTGGAAACCATGGCAAAGTTGAAGATTGTTATTTGTTGCTTTTAGGGTTTATAGACAATATTTTGTGTTTAGACTGTATTGGTGATTTATGATGTAGCATACTTTTGAGATAATGTTCTGCATGACAATATTCACTGATAATGATATGACGATATTTAATGTAGGAGACTAATATTATAACTTTTTACAACAATTGGCTACTTTTATTTCAACAAATGCTACAAGTTATTTATATGATCATTGTTTGATTTATATAGTTTTTACAAATGCGAGAGAGAAGAGATTCCGAAATAATACGGCAAAGTGTGGTAAATGACAGTATTAACTAACTGTTGTAAAGAATATGCTAAAGTGTGGTAAATGACAATATTAAGTAAGTGTGCTAAAAAACATGATAAGTCAAAGCCGTGAGAATCACAGCCGTGATTTACAATCACACCCGTGATTCCCACGGTGTTAGTCAGTCAAAAAAAATCCTACGTAACAACTATGAAAATCACAGCCGAGATTCTGAATCACGCCCGTGATTTCCACGGTGTCTGTCACTCAAAAAAATTTTATATGAAGCATTAACAATCACGCCCATGATTCGTATAGCGTTTGTCACATTAAAAAACACGGTAACTTAGACTGTGAGAATCACGACCGTGATTCTAAATCACGGTTGTGATTCCTACGACGTGAGTCAACCTAAACCCTACTATACATCAGTGCGAGAATCACGGCCGTGCTTCACAATCACGCCCGTGATTGACACGACGTCAGTGATGTTAAAACCATTATAGAATCATCGCGAGAATCATAGGCGTGAATGTCAGTCACGCCCGTGATTCATCCCTGCCACCGAAAACCCTAGCTTCCTCCTATAAATACCCATGCTCGTGACTTTTAAACTTAATTCATTTATTCATAACAGATAATCACGTCTTATTCTGTGAAACCCTAACCCACTCAAACCCTAACCCTTGCAATGGCCCCAAAGCGAACTCGTGCATCTCATGGGTCATCTTCTAATCCCACACCTGAGTTGGAAGACATGGAAGTACCCGTTATTCCGCCTCTACAATTCCGAGACAGTGAGCAACACGATAGGTATCAGACTCTTAGTACTCGTACAATAACTGCAACAAGGTATCTTGATTTTCAATTTTTGCGCGAATTAGGGTTACATGCTGACATCAATTTCATGTTGACAAACATTGGGCGGAGTAATTTTGCGACGATCCATGTCGAAAAGGTTTATCCAAGGGTTGTTCTTGAGTTTCTTAGTTCTCTCCACACTGAAATTTTGACTGGGGCAAATTGTGGACCAGGATTGATTTCCTTTAGACTTTTTAATATAGAACATCGTCTCAATTTGGAGGAATTCAATGCTATCTTTGGATTTCAAATTGAAGGGGAAAAAAGAAACCCAATATCATTTAATCCATATATGTTTTGGAGGGCTGTAACAGGTCATAGACAATGGTTGGCTGGTAAATGCAATTCGTCTACATTTCGCCACCCTGCCATTAGAATTATGCATAGGTTTATTGCATCTACTATTCTAGGTCGTGGCGACTCAGAGGGAAAGGTACGCCTAACTGATTTACTTTTTATATGGGCAATGATGAAAAATAGGGATGAAAAGATCAACTCTGGTGCATATTTGGCTAGATAATTGCAAAGCATTTCAAACACTAGATTTGGTAATATTGTCAATGGGGGCTTGATAACTACAATTGCTAAAAATTTGGGCTATAGCGAATTTCTGGACCATTTGCAGGATACCAAAGCTCCTAGAATGATTAATTTTAATACTTGTTATGCAATGCAGTGTATTACTAAGGACAATGATGGCAGATTTTATTTCATTGTTAGCCAAACTAGAGTGCACCACTTACTACCAAACCGACAGTATACACTCAAGGATGAAACCACATGGTGTTTCCCCTTGCAGTCATTGACTGATGTACCCGAACAACAACCTGTTCCTCAGGAGGTAGCACTTGAAGCAGAGGAAGCGGAGACAGAGGACCAACATTTCACCACACAACCACATGTACAGGTAGACAATGCTGATATTCTATCTGCCATTCAGTGTATGGATCGTCGACTACAAGAGATGGATGAACGTCAACAACACTATAATTATATGCTAGATAGGATGTATAATTGGCACCTTCAGCGTTATTTAGATGATTTTCCTCCTCAGTGATTTCTCTAAATCATATTGTGTCAGCACAAGAAAATTATGTGATGATTTCCTGTTGTTTACTCTTTGAACTATCTTAGCATATATATTTATCTCTTTCAAATTTCAGACCATATGTATTCAAGTCTTTAAAAACTTAGACCTTAATATATCTACGTTTATGATTATTGGTATGGTTTGACGTTCATATTTGGTGCACCGATGGTTTTACTCTTAAAAACCAACTGGTAAATTTCAACTTCAGGCAATGCTTCAATACTAACATTACTAATTGTTGATAATTCCATTGAGATTAAACCAACATTACAAAAATATCCAACAACAACATCCCAAAAGTTGTCATTACATACAAAACACCATATTTGACTACTTCAAATAAAACACCCTTCCAAATTGAACCAAGTTGTTACAAATTACATACATTAACACCAAATTCAACAACAACAAAAAACAACAACAATTATCAACAACTTCATCTAGCATCTTATTGACTTCAGAGAACTCTGGAGATTGTTGATCTTTCTCCTTTGCTAGGTATCAACAAATCCATTTTATCCACATATTCCTCTAAAAACTACTTGAAAAAGTTGCATCCTTGTTGTTCAGCATCACCAAACTACAAAATTTAATAACCAAAGTAACAAAACCCCAAAATCATAAATTAGGGAAAAATAAATTTAATTAATTAACATAACATACCTTGTAATTTGAACAACCCCAGAATCTTTTACCAGTATTTGCAAATGTCATTGTTGTTCGCAACACAACAACCTCCCCACAATAGCAATAGGGAACACAATACCTGCTACCATGACCTTCAGACCCACTTGAATTCATGGAGTTCATTGGGCATGAGTTTGAAGACATCCGAGACATTTTCGTTGTAGAACAGTAAATCCTATCAAATCTTGCAAATTTCAATATCCTGCAAATTTCAAGATGGGGAGAACAAAAACTAATTTGGGGAGAACAAAAACTAATTTGTGAAGAAGAAGAAGAAGAAGAAGAAGAAGAAGAAGAAGAAGAAGAAGAAGAAGAAGAAGAAGAAGAAGAAGAAGAAGAAGAAGAAGAAGAAGAAGAAGAAGAAGAAGAAGAAGAAGAAGAAGAAGAAGAAGAAGAAGAAGAAGAAGAAGAAGAAGAAGAAGAAGAAGAAGAAGAAGAAGAAGAAGAAGAAGAAGAAGAAGAAGAAGAAGAAGAAGAAGAAGAAGAAGAAGAAGAAGAAGAAGAAGAAGAAGAAGAAGAAGAAGAAGAAGAAGAAGAAGAAGAAGAAGAAGAAGAAGAAGAAGAAGAAGAAGAAGAAGAAGAAGAAGAAGAAGAAGAAGAAGAAGAAGAAGAAGAAGAAGAAGAAGAAGAAGAAGAAGAAGAAGAAGAAGAAGAAGAAGAAGAAGAAGAAGAAGAAGAAGAAGAAGAAGAAGAAGAAGAAGAAGAAGAAGAAGAAGAAGAAGAAGAAGAAGAAGAAGAAGAAGAAGAAGAAGAAGAAGAAGAAGAAGAAGAAGAAGAAGAAGAAGAAGAAGAAGAAGAAGAAGAAGAAGAAGAAGAAGAAGAAGAAGAAGAAGAAGAAGAAGAAGAAGAAGAAGAAGAAGAAGAAGAAGAACAAGAACAAGAAGAAGAAAAACAAGAAGAGGAAGTGGGGGCAGATAATAAGAACCTTCAGATGAGAATAATGAAAACATACCCATCAACGAAAACATGAAGAAGAAGAAGGAATCCACGTGGCCATGGTCATTCCACGTAAGCCTCCACGTGGCCATGGTAAATCTACGTATACATCCATGTGGCCAACACTTAACCTCGTTTAAATCATTTGGACGGAAGTCTGACATTGCAATAATTTAATTTATTAGGGACCAAATTGAAACAAAAAATTATAGAGGGACGGAATTGAAACTATTAAATATTATAAGGAACCAAATTAGGTGTTTTGCCTAACTTTGTATGTCTGATATTGAATTTATTTTGATGGAATTACGTTAAGTTTTTCGATACTTCATACTTTTTGTAGTTTTATTTACAATGTCCATTATTGAGACACATTTTTTTACTTTCACTAATTTGAAAATCTCTAACACGTTAATACTAAATAAACGTTAAAAAATTAATAATAAGACTATAAGAGTTAAAAGGATTACAAAATTGTAAGTATGAGGGTTAAAAAAAATATCTTAAACTATAGGGACTAAAATGGTCTATTTCAACTACAAAAATTACAAGGTAAAGTAAATGAAACTATAAGGATTAAAAAAGTATTTTAATCAACATTTTGCTACATTAGACAAAATAATATAGTTTTAAATACCTATATTTTCAATACTTTAAGTTGGTAATAACGCTTAAAATACGAAACATGATTACATAAATATATAAACAATTACTAATAAGTTGTTGGTCTAAGTGATATTTGACTCGTTCTATAATGTTTCAAATTCGAATCTTGTGTATAAAAAAAATGTATTTAGAAGAGAAAATTTCAATGACCAATTAAGTTTTTTGATAATTTTTTATCATGAAAGTATAATAACAATTGTGAGAGATAATCATATTTTCAAATAATATATCTTACTGCACTTCCACTTACAGATGACACATACCATTATTTTATCATCATTGCACTTGAGTTCTTCCTTCCTTATCTTTGATAAGTTTGCCATTTCAAAGGAAAATGTTGATCTACACCCAAAAGAGGTTAATTCCTATTTCCAACCTTATGGAACACAAAAAAATGCTAATAAGAATGCAAAAATGATGATCTTACTTTTGCTTGTGATACTTGCATTCCTTCTGAAACTATGTGTTTATTTGTCTAATATTATTTACTATAATCAAGAATGATAGGGAAAAATTTTAAGTTTTACACAATTGAGATAACAAATAATACCTCTTGCTTCATTTATTTTATTTATTTTTTCACTTTTTAATATTTTTATCTCAATTTTTTTCCACGTAGAACATCATAGGAAAGAGAAAATAATTTGTTAAGAGTGTTATTTGAGTGTTTTTGTCTTTTATAAATATCTAAAACACATTATCATTATCAAGTATTATGTTATCTTGATCTCAATTTTTTAGAGATAGCAAAACATATCAACTCATGTTATTTGAGTTGAACTCACTTGTCATCTAAAAATAAATAGAGTTAAACTAGGTCTATCTCCTAATGACTTAATAGGTTAAACCTACTAATTGCACGATATTCATTTTACCATTTCTAATCTTTTCTAAATTATATTAACTCTTAGTAAAAAATAATTAACATACGACCTAAAACTTAGATATCATAATGAATAATTTACATAATATTTTTATATAGAATAAAATAAGAATGTAGCATGTGTTTTATAAAACTCAAAATGTCAAATTCTGCCTTAAATTAATGTCCATACCTTCTTAATGTATTATAAGAAGCCAACGCATGTTATACTAAGTGAGAAGTAAACGCTTATCACCTTGACCTCAAATATTTAATTTTGATTTTTTTAAATATTTTTTTTCTAAATTATTTATATTTTTAGTAGAAAATAATTTCCTTTGTATTAAATATATTCATAATATTTTTATACAAAATTAATGTTTAAGACCTTGGTTAAAAGGAAAATTCAAGTATATGCCACCTAACTAAATATCCGTTGATATAAACAGTTATACAAATATATATTATAGATGATAAATTGACACGAGGATTTTTTCTTTTTAAATTAAAAAACTTAGTTGTGTTCAAACTGGTTGGTTACTTATGGTGCACGAACTGTTGTAAATCGTATCAAGTTTGATTTTAATAAATAAAAAATAAGCATGTAATTAACAAAAATGTTATTATAATTTATCTGATTAGATCATCCGATATTTGATAAGAAGATGACGAGGCATTTTTAATTTTTTTTTTTATTAAAGGAAGGAAAAATGAAACATAGAGCCAAGCGGTGAAGTTTCTGAGGAAGGAAGGTTACGTAAATGAAGAGAGTTAGTTGAAGTATAGACTACATTTGCATTTATCAATTCATCCATTATCTAAGCAGTTGCAGCCGAAAATGGCATCGGAGTCAGGTCAAAGTCCCAATCCTTCTTGGTTTACTCCCAAAAGGTCCTTCTTCTCATAAACCTACTTTTGCATTTCATTCCTTTTCTCTTTTGCTTTTTATGTTTTCCAAATTCACTCATTATGCAATTCACAGCTCACAGTGCTTTGTCCTCGGTGTTTAAATCAAGTAATTAATTTTAATTGTAACACATGTGCCGATTTCAGGCTTCTTATAATATTTTGTATCATTAACATGCTCAACTATGTGGATCGAGGAGCTATAGCTAGTAACGGTGTGAATGGAAGCCTTGCAACTTGTACTGAATCTGGTATTTGTACCGGTGGCAGTGGAATTCAGTGAGTTCTGTTTCTGTTTCCCCCCCCCCCCCCCCCCCCTTTTGATATTGATCGTCATCATCATCTTATTGTACGGTGGTTTTTCACGTTTCAGGGGGGATTTTAACTTGAACAATTTTCAAGATGGTGTTCTGTCATCTGCATTTATGGTTGGGCTTCTAATTGCTTCTCCAATATTTGCTTCTCTGGCCAAAAGGTGAATTGCTTCGTGTTGCAGGAGCTTCTGCTCGCTTATGGATTAACCATGATGTCAAACTCAAAGCGTCGCAGTGATAAGATGTTTTTACTTTATGTGTTGTAGACATATGTAGAGGCTAATAGTTGTGGGAATTGCATACATATTAGCACGAGCTGAGGGCTAGTTTATTAAGTCAATAGCAAAATGATAATATCTGAAGAGGATCCTTCACATATGGGGGTTGTTTTTATGACTCAAAAGGTGTTCAAATCCTCGAGTCTCTAGTTCTGTAAAATATATATATATTTTTAGTATTAACTGTATGAATATATTCCACTTCAGACAATATCACAAGACTTTCTCTTGTATGAGTGATTTATGGAGGAGAGAAGTTAAACTTAATCATCCCAAAAATTAAGCGAGTGAAAGCCTAATAGGCTTTCGGGGCTCCAAATCATGTTGAAGAATCAATTTCCTAAAATCTTCGGGTATTAGGGGCAGGCCAAGAATAGGTTTTATATCTACACGTGTTACTCATATTCTCATTTCCCGCTCCTTTGAAATTCATATATCTGAACACAAGCCAGTTCAAGAACTACATGGTTTAACACCTCCTAGAAAATGTACAGCGCCAAAGAAGTTTCACTTTCTCTCACTTCCAGTTTGGTTAATGTAAATCATAGAGGCAGGAGAATTCTACAGTTATTCTAATTATTATAAATAAATTGACATTTTTTTGTACTTCTATGGTTTATCTAATTTTAAGGAAAAGTGTCACTTTATGGTTTTAATTGTTCTCATGTTGATTTCATGTTACCCTTCTATCATTTGGTTCGGGTTTATTGATCAACTGTGAGCCAATATTTTTCATCTTTGAAATCTATAAATCAAAGGGGGATGAATTGATGTCAGCTTTCATCATGTTTGCTGTGCATGAATGCTTAGCATTTTGTTACAAAGTTATATTAGAAGTGCATAAATGGGAAACTGATAATTTGAGCCATGTTCTTAAAAAAGGCTTAGGTAGCTTGGCTCAGAGTGGGATTAAATATTTGCAACCTCCGTGTTTCCTCTTTCATTGAATGGTAATCTAATGCATTATCAAATTTGCAGTCACAATCCATTTCGGCTTATTGGCGTTGGATTGTCTGTTTGGACAATTGCGATAGCTGGATGTGGTAGTTCGTTTGATTTTTGGTCTATTGCAATATGCCGAATGTAAGGGAATGTTCGAGTACTTTCAACTTCTCAATGCCTTAATACATCACCAGTTTTTCATGCCATATTTTGAGTTGAGGCTGACAACAGCTTTTATGCAGGCTAGTCGGTGTAGGTGAGGCTTCCTTCATAAGTCTTGCAGCACCATTCATTGATGACAATGCTCCTGCTGCACAGGTTTGGCCTAATTCTTTATGCCCCTTGATAATTAGTCAAAACTGTTCCACCATGAATTCAGTGTTGCAACTTTATAGTGTTTTTATTGATGACAGAAAACAGCATGGCTTGCTACATTTTACATGTGTATACCAGCTGGGACTGCTCTGGGCTATGTTTATGGTGGATTTGTAAGACTGCATACTTTTATAATCTAGCTGTGTTAAGATGACTTTTCTTGTTTATTTTGTTTGATGGTGTGAACTCATGGTGTTTGATTATACCTGTTATTTATGTTGTGTCATTTCCTTGGACTGCTATTTATTTAAATTATGTGGAGACATGCGTGTGTGTGTGAACCCCGAGTGCCCAACAAGTAGTATTAGAGTCGTTGGTTCGATCAGGTGATCGGCTCGGCGAGTATGATGGAGTTGACAGGTGAATTTAGGTATATAGGATCACTTGTACCGAAAGTCTTATTAATGGTGGGTCCATGTGTGGAAGAGAGTCTTCCCAGTAACATGAGGGTTAGGAGGCATGTCTCGCTATTGTGAGTTAACATGATGGAGCGATGGTGCAAGTACTTAGAGCGTGACTGAGCTCTATGAGTCACTATTGGTTATAATTGTGGACTAATAGCTTTTGCTGCAAGGGAGGGTAAACTATGATTCTTTGTTTGAGGGGTGTTTGAGAGAATGATTGTTAGGATGCAAGTAAAGTCTCACATTGTTCAAACAAGAAGATGGGTATACAATTGTCTTCATTGGTTAGATGCCTTTTGGGTGATGTCCAAAAGCAAAATCATGAGAGTTTAGGTCCAAAGTGGACAATATTTTACTGTTGTGAGGATGTGTATGTGTGTGAAACTCCCTGGTGCAGAACAAGTCTTAAGAATTGTTGGGCTTTTATTTGTTTAAGTTGAGTTTTTTTTATTATTTATTTATGTATAGGGGGATAAAAAAGGAATACATTAAGATGAAGAAGATTACACTGACAGCGAGATAAAAGGAAGCAATGAATCAAAGTTACTCAGCCCCAAACATACCCTTACGGGATACCCCTCTGAAAAAACCATGAGCTTTATGTCAAGTAGAAGCCAAATACCTAAACCTTTCTCAAAGAATCTTGTTACTCATTGTGCTCTCCTTAAAGATACACGAATTGTGTTCCAACCATATGCAGCAAAGAGTGGCATAGACAGCACATGCCAGAAAATTTTGCCTTCTTTACTTATATGTTATACCAAACCCAATGAAACTGATCACTGAAAACTGGTCCAAGGGTGTAGGACCAACACTCTCCAAAGATGCCAAATAAAGAATTGCACAAAGAAAGTGCTAAGAACAGTGCAAAAATGGATATGGAGCAGACTCTAAGCTTGCAGCATGACATAGCCTGCAACATGTCATTGTTATTAATAATATTAACACAACTGTTAAAATAAAGAACTTTACCCGAGAGATTTGGACTTCCAAATAAGTTTTTCAAGATGGAATTAAAGTGTATTAAAAAAATGAGTAAGTTGGAAGAAGGATTTGGACTTCCAAATGAGAATAATTAGTTTGATAATCTACATTAACACCAGCCAAACTGCTTTTAGACATTGATGTTCAACCTTAAAGAAATTTAAAAAATATGGAGAGAGAGAGAGCATTCAGAACCTTTCCTCATTCTTTTCTAATAAAAACAGAACGATATGATTAGCAAACTGCAAATGTGAGACAACCTCCCCTTTTGATCCCACTTTTAACTTTATTATTGTACCTACAAGCAACTGCTCTAGAAATTAAACAGCTGAGTGCATCCTAAACCAAGGTGAACAAAAAAGATTTTGGTTGAGTTTGGTTTAGAGAGATTGTTTTTAAAATGTCCTCCTTCCACTTTTGCATCTTTTTCTTCAGCAAATGGTTGAGTTGAATTATGAAGGATGAGTATATTGATGGACTTCTTCAGAAGAACTAATAATGTACATCAGCTATATTCTCAAATTTATTAGCGATATCTTCTGGAAAAATGTTTTTTATATTGTTTACCCTTATCTAAGGTACTTGTAAATTTGCAATCTTAACACTCACGCTCAGCTTTTATATATTATTACATTAGTGGGCCCTGGTTGTTGGTACCATATCTTGAACATTGTCCAGTGATAGTGTTAAAATCAATCAGCTTCAAAATTTCAAATAACGTGCAGGTTGGAAGCCAATTTAACTGGAGAGTTGCATTCTGGGTTGAGGCAATTTTGATGCTTCCATTTCCCATATTGGGTTTTGTAATGAAGCCTTTGCAATTGAAAGGTGACCATTTTCTTCTATTTGATGTGTTTCAGAATAGCCTTAATTTTTTTAATCCTTGTCATAGAAATGTACTATTTGACTTTTAATGTAGGTTTTGCACCCTCAGAATCCGAACAGGCACTAACATCTACTGAAACAAATGTTTCAGAAACTGGAGGTATTTCTGAATCTTTTGTCTATTACTTTGGTGATTTATTATCTATATTTTCTTATATTTAATGGGAAAATGTTATCTTTCAATATTATTTTCATAAAATGACCTAGCTTGGGAGAAAATTCAAAGACTGGAGAAATTTCTTAAAGAGAAAGAAAGTTTGAAAAACAACAGTATTGCTAATGAATAGAATAGAATAGAATAGGATGTGTTTTCTGAATATAAAAATAAATAAACATCTTATATGATATCTGTTAGTGGTTGTAAGAAAAAACTGAACTCACCTGAAATCAGTATTTTGCAATATGTCCAGTTCAGTTAAAAGCTGCACTGTGATGATATATTTAATTTGGGGTGGGTGGGGGGATTGCAGTACAACAACAAAGCCTTATCCCACTAATTGAGATCAATTGCATGACACAATTGGGCTTGGTTGAAGACCAAATTCTCAAGGTTATTATTCATCATGAGATTTTTCTTAACAATTTCTTCTGATATCCTTCATGGTCTTGCTCTTATCGTTTTTCATAGGGCTAAAAACCATGTAATCTACTGTCCTCGGTGATGCTTCCAGTGACTATCTTTGTACATATACAAACCACCTTAATAGATTTTCAGTCATATTTTTCTCAATTGGTGCAACATGAATATTTTCTTGATCATTTCGTATCTTATCCCTTGTGTAGCCACACCCAACTTTAACATTCTCATTTCTACTACTCTCACCTTTCTCTCTTGTCTCTTTAGTCCAACATCAACATCTACAATATAGAGTATAGCTGAACTGAGTGTGTAGCAGTACAATAAAACTTTCCTTTGAGCTCGGTAGGTACTTTGTGATTACAAATAACCTCGATGCATTGCTCTATTTTAACCATCCGGCTTGTATTTTATGTGTATCATTGATTTCCCCTTCATTTTGTCATATTGATCTCAAATATTTAAACTTTGGAACTTGTGGTATGACACACTCTCCCATGTTTATTACCAATTCATTTTCCTCTTGTTTCTTGTCAAAATTACAATCCATATACTGTCTTATTCTTAATCAAACAAAAACTCGTTGATTACAAAGTTTATCTCCAAAACCTAAATTTAAAGTTTATCATCCACAAAAAGCATGCAGCTAGGTATAATCTTTTGTACGTTCTTGGTAAGTACATGCAATACTAGGTTATTAAACAAGGACTTGAGGCTGAACCCTTATGCAATCCTATCCTTATAGGAATGTCCGTAGTCTTGCCTTCTGAAGTTTACACTTGTAGTTACCCCCTTATACAGGTCTTGTATAGCTTGGGTATAGGTCGCATGATTTTACCTGGCATAAAATCAAACTGATTTTACACAATCGTAGTCTCTCTTAATCTATGCTCAATCACCTTTTCCCATAATTCATAGTGTGACTCAAGTTTTATTCCTAAGTGGTTTACACAATTTTGAATAGCACCCTTCTTAAATATGGTAACAAAGTGCTTCTCCACCACTTATTTGGCATTGTGTTAGATTTCAAAATCTCATTAAATTTCTTAGTGAACCAAGTGGTACCTTGTTCACCTACACCCTTCGAAACTTTGATAGAAATACCATAAGGAATATTAGGATAAATCCAAGTCCCACATCGATTATAGATAGTCAAAATACAATATATAAGTAGGAAACAATTCTCACCTTATAAGTCGGTTTTATAAAGTTGAGATAGGCTTAAACCCATATCCTAAGATGGTATCAAAGTTATCGCATATTCATTAAAAAAATTGTCACCCACCACTTATACACACCAAGTCCAAATCCCAAATAGTCTAAGTGTGAGGAAGTGTATTGAGAAAAACATAAATCCCACATTGACTAGAGATAAGTCCAAAATACAATATATAAGTTAAGAACAATTTTCACTTTACAAGTTGGTTTTGTAAGGTTAAGTTAGACTCAAACTCATATTTTAAGAAGGAACAATAACTTTACCATTATCTATCCCCTTAAGGGTTTTTTTTTTTTACCTCTTCAACATGAATTCTACATTTGTAAGTCAAATTTTGTTCATCCTCTCAGATTTCTAGTCCTCCCATGTTACAAGTCGATCATTATCCATCATTGAAAAAGTTATAAAAATAATTCTTCCATCTCTCTTTGGTATTTGATCTATAATCGAAACTTCCCCCTTTTCATCCTTAATACATTTTACTTTATCTAAATCTTTTGTTTTCCTTTCTCCATTTTTGGCGAGTTAATATGTTTTATGTTATCCATTCTTTATTAGGAAATATAAATTATATTTTGAACTGCTAACTTTATCCATAATTTATTAATGCTATTTGTCATTTTCAAGGAATAAGCCATGTGTATTAGGCTGTCATTCATATGAGGATAATTGTGTCATGTTTTTTTTAGTATTTAGAATTTTTTCTTTCCCACTTCCCATTATAGCTTTGTTTGCCATTTGTACAGAATGATAGCACTTTTCATGTAGTTCTAAATAATTTCTATGCTCAAATTTAGAGGTTTCCTTTCCTTTATAGATGATGACATGCTAGCTGAAGGTCAAGCCTTGATCAGAGGATCAAAGTGAGTGGCACTATTATCTTTGATTTTCTAATTCTGAATCCCTTCTCCTTTTGGTATTTATTGTTTAGTTTGTCTTTGTTTCCTATTTCTGATTCTGATGTCAAGCTGAAGAAAACCCAAAATCCAGGTATTAAATTTGTACTATGTACATTAAAGGGGAATAGAAAAATAAAGTTAGAGACAGAATTCAACTACCATTTACCATAAATTGTCTGAACAAGTGAGAGAGTAGAGAGTGTCACTTGAAGCAACCTTTGTACTTTGTTTATTTATTCTGCTGGAAATAGTTAATATCCTGAAATGGGAATGCCTTCAGATCATGCAAAGCAGTTCTGGCACTATTACAGATTGACAGCCCTGTCAGAGTTGGGGTAGACTGGCAATGATAGAAAGCAGCCAGGCAGACAAACAGTGACAAACACACTTACTCTTGACACGTGGGCATACACACAATGGCATATTGGAAAGGGGATTCCTGTGCTTGGTGTTGAGTTTCCTTTATCTAAAAGCCCAATACTTTGTTCATAAGATAATTAAAAAAAGAGAGAAGAAAATTATTATTACATATTACACCCACTCCTACTTTTAAGGAATTCTTACACTCACATGATGGGTAGTATTCCTTCTAAAGTTCTTGCACATTTGAAATTCCCTTGATGATTATGGTCAGAATAGATTGGTAAAGTTATTTATTTCTCCTAATCTCTGACATTATGTGAAACATTGCTTTTCTCCTTTATGATTGTTAACTTATGATTGTCAGGTCAACATCCAAATTTTGGAATCAGTTCACCAGATTCTCAAAAGATATGCAGGAGCTCTTGCATGACCAAGTGTATGTTATAAATGTTCTAGGTACTTCTTTTCTCAACCTTCTGAGAAATACTTTTCTTTCATTTGTTTCCTGAACATGACAGTTGTTTAAGAAAATTGGGACAATATTATGATAGTTTTGTTTTGTTTACCATAATGCCCAATAAATTAAAAAAAAAAAAAAAGTTCTGAGAATTTGATATTTGTAGTCAATTCCGAACTGTGGCATTTGTTTCTTTACATAAGAATTAATTTTTGCCAGGGTATATATCATACAATTTTGTCATTGGAGCTTACTCATACTGGGGCCCTAAGGCAGGATACAGCATTTACCATATGGTATTTCTCATATATTACCCAAGATTTTTACGAGTTCTGCAGTTCTGCTTCATATTAAATATTAGGAAAATATTACAAAAGGCCTTAATCTACCAAGTTTATTGAAGATTTGGTTTTTCCAAGATCCCTGTGAAGTTGATTGATCAACCTCACAATGGGACAAGACTTGGTTGTTGTTGTTGCTTATTCACATTATTTGTGTTACATTCACTTTTGTACAAGTCTGGTATTGCCCTTGGGCCTTGTCCTTTGTGGAAATGTGCTTCATTGACAGTACCTTTTATGACAGAATAATGCTGACTTGTTGTTTGGAGGCATTACAATTGTTTGTGGGATTTTGGGGACATTAGCTGGAGGCTTGTTTCTTGACCGGATAAGTTCAACCATCTCTAATGCTTTCAAGGTAAACTAAGTTGATTTCCATTTAAATAGGAAATAAGTCAAATGAATCGAAAGTTAAGCATTTTCTTTTACATTGTACATGAGTCTTTGGCACCCACTTCGCATAAACATAAATATGAAAATAGGAGCAGAGATCACTATCAAGTTTGTATTCCTGTTTTTTGTATGGACAAGTTCCAGGTTTCAGTAACTGTCATGAGAACTTTTATATTAATCATCTATTCTAAACACAATCATTCTATTTACGTGTCCCAGTCTTCTTTTCCTTAAATGTAACTAATTCACTGATGTAATTATCTCATAAGTTCCTTTCTCTTGAATTTTACTCCGTTCTGTTTTCGTTGGTGTGGCTCTGATATTTTTACAATATGTTATTTCATTTCTTCTTTGGTTTCCCTTGTTGCCATTGCAGCTTCTTTCTGTAGCAACATTTCTAGGTGCAATCTTCTGCTTGGTGGCTTTCCTTTTCAGGAGCTTGTCTGGTTTCATAGTTCTCTTCTCTATCGGTGAACTGCTAATTTTTGTCACTCAGGTAATTTTATGAATCACTTGGAGGATTAATTTTTTCTCTCTTAAAAGTAGGGGGTGGAAATTCAATCAATTTATACAGTAACCATCCATATATAAATGCAGGCAATCCATCCAATTATATATATTAAAAAATTTATGGATTGGTTAATTTGATCACCATTTGTTATTGGATATATAATAAACCGTCCAACTTATTTTTGTAATCTATTGGATCAAGTAGTCCAAAATTCATTGGTTAATCTGAACTCTAGTGTTTGGGTGCAAAAATGTGTATAAATAATTAAATATTGAACTTTATTTTGTAAAAATATTTCTTTGAAAAAATAAAATATAATACAATTTAACTGGATGGATTGGATGGTTTTTAATTAAATAAGTAATATAGATGGATTGGACTTTTTGAATTCATTTTCCATCAATCATAAATGGATTAATGGTTTATTTTTTACCCACCTATTATATTGAATTTAAAATTTATCTGATCCATCTGTTTGACACCCCTACTTAAACATGTTCACCTATATTTTACTTGGATACCAGTTGCATTCTACGGTTTCATATTGATTTAGCTGTTGGTAGATTGAGATGTTTGGTTATTTCATCTTTTTCATGCCACATGTGCATAAGTTGATAATGAGATTCAGTATAGTAATCTAGTCTCAATTTATTCCTCCTTTGCATTTCCTGGATGAATTTACTTACAATCCCCTTAAGTTGGATTTAACAATTACTCAGCCAACGGACTAATCGTTGGATGCTGCTGTTGGCTGTCTTTAGGTGGATACCATATATTATTTAGCTTGACAGGAGTGCAGATCATAGCAGAATTATATATCGGCTTTACACATCTTGCTTTGGACTTCTTGATTCACTCTTTTTCCAGAATATGTGATCCAAATAGATGTGTTTGGTTTGTGGAATTTCTGTTTCCATTTTCTCGTTTCATTAATATTCCACCTTATTTCAATTTGTTTTGTTTTCTAAGATCTGTAAGGAAATAGTGAAAATAACATTTTTGTTATTGAAATTGGGAAATAGAGTGAAAACAATGACATTTTTGTAATTCTTGAAAATAACGTATCATATCCTAGGATATCTTAAATTATCCTCTAGGATTAGTTTCTGTATTTCATTGCTACCTCTTAGGATTGATTACCATATTTCCTTATCTTATCATGATTTGTTGCCCTAATTAGTCAGAATTATGATTAGTATAAATCATGGTTATTGCTCTAGATTTTATGAACATATTTATACATCAATATGTTTAAGATATATATCAATACATATCAATATCAATTCAATGCTCCATTCTCTTTTTATCTCTCTCCCTCCCTATATGCCTAAAAAAAGAACCCACAATTTCAACAAACGGAAAATGGACAAAAGAATTCTGCAAAAGCACAACTTTATGCCCACAAATCAAACATCCTAATTGATTCATTATGAGATTTCTAGACTTCCTTTATCGGGGATAATATTTTGAGAGAAATATGATCATTTCATGTTAATCTACTGATTATTTTCTTGGATTATATTCTTTATTCATATAGCCTCATTTTGTTGGAGTTGTTGGTTTAATATTTGGTTGATGATATGGTACTATTTTTTCAGGCTCCTGTAAATTATGTTTCTCTCCGATGTGTAAAACCTAGTTTGAGGCCACTGTCTATGGCTATATCTACTGTTTCAATCCATGTATTTGGTGATGTGCCATCCTCACCACTTGTTGGGGTCCTGCAGGTAACACCTAAGATTTTCAAGATGTTATAGCTGTGTTTTTGTTACTTCTATAACTGGATATTACAGATAGCAACAGTTAACATACTTAAATTTATATACACAGGCTGATTATATATAGGACAGATTCTACAGTGGTCCACCTTTATAGGTGGTCCATCATGTACCACAGTTTTTTGCCATTAGATCAATTTAAGTCTCATAATGTTATAATACATCAGCTGCACAAGATCATTTCCCTCTTCAGCTAAGACTAACAAAGGGCCTCCCACCACCACCGTAAACTGTCACCGGAAGCAATTTCCAATGACGGTGGCTTTTTTCTCTTCTTTCTTCCTTTTCTTCTCCCCCTTCCCTTCTTCTTTTGGTTTGCTTCCTGTACAGCCAACCACGATGATGTTCTTCTGTGCTTGGAGCTCCGGACAGGGCGCCTCACCAAGGCACAATTTGGCATCAACATCATCACATCATCGGAGCAGCACACCAGGCTCTACAACTCCATCTGCGGCAAGTTCACACCAGGCTCTACAACTCCATCTGCCACAAGTTCGACGGCGACCAGAGCAGAGCCGCCTACCTTCATTAGTTCTGAGATGAGATGAAGAACCCTGGAACTTGAAGCTTCCAAGGCCTAAAAAATGGCAACATTTTCGGTTTTGGCTGTGGTCCCTCTTCATATCCATAAGCAAAAGAAGAAGAGGGGAAGGGGAAGAAGGAAAAGGGAAAAAGAAGAAGAAAAAAGAAAGGTATCACCGTCACCAGAAATCGCCTGCAAAGACGTGCACGGTGGTTGAAGGTACTGTGTGAATAGTGGTCTTGAAGAGGGAAGAGATCTGGTGTAGGTGATACATTATTACATCATAAACCTCAGATTGATCTAATGGATATGAATTGTGGAGCACAGTGAACTACTTGTAAAAGTGGTCCACCCTAGAACTCATCTATATATATAGATAATAATTACAAAAGACAATACAACATAAAATTAACGGGCTGCATTTAGCTTTCTTGGTAAGTGGGATAATAATTAAATTATGGAAATACAAACTAATCACAAGCTGTGGGATGCATGTTCACTTGGTTTTATATCTTATAACACTGTTCTTTCTTACTATCCTAAGGCTAAGTACATTTGCCGGCTCCAGACCTCACATTGTTATGCATTGGATTGCCTTTGTTCTTTCTAGCTGCCGCTTTCTCTACTTACCTCTCCCGTTTATCTGAAGGGATTTCCAGTGTTATTTTGTTAGGAGAGAACTAGTATGCCACTTGATTGTCTGTTAGAATATTACTAAAATTTAGTGAGAAGTGAGAACACCACTAGTTTCTGTTGTGCATTTAGACGAGTCCATTGTCCAGATTTGCTGAGTTTACATTATTTGGACTCGTAAGCAACTTGGTTTTCCTGTGCAGGATCATATTAATGACTGGAGGAAAACAGCAGTTTGTCTAACATCCGTTTTCTTTCTTGCTGCTGGAATATGGTTCATAGGTAAGTGGCATACTGCTTAAGTTGTAATTTTCTATTCTTAATTCTTCCAGATATGCATTTAAGTTAGAATAGTTTAGGATTAATTTCTTTAGAACACATGAAGAAAATGTCAATGATGTGCATGTGTTCAAGTTCTTCCACATGTTTATTTGTCTGTATTGTTTTTTTTGAAAATAAAATGATAATATTCAGTACGACGAATCAGAAAATTCTCAACATTGATGAAAAAAATACCAATTTGGCTACTCTTGATGATATCATATCATTCTGTAATTAACCTGAAGTGAAACTGTGTTGAACTTAATGAGCATGTTGCAATAGAGATCAAAAGTGATGTGCTGACATTTGTAGAAAAACAACCTTAATGATTGTGAGTGGAGTGGTTAATATTCTTGCTGAGTATATAAATTGAATTTATAATACATGCACGAGTTTTATATTGTCATCTAATCACAAACTGTTATATATGATAAATTTGTTGATTTTTATAATAATTAAAGTCATATCAGTAATGGTTTTTTGATTAGTTGTTAGTGTAAATGTTTAACATGTGTATCTGTTGAACTGAAATTTGCTTGATGATAACAGAGGATTGTTAGTTGACCACCTACAAACTTAACTGTTTAACAATAACATCAGGAAAACTTCTACGAAGTACGAATTGCATGAAGAAAAAGAAAATTATGCTGTTGAAAGTTGACATATAGCTGGACAATGTTTGTAATTAATCCTATTAAATATTACAGGAATCTTTTTGAGAAGTGCTGATCGATATAACGGAGATGATGAGGATCAATCTGCCACAGTTAGAAGAGAGAAAATGAAGCCATTGCTTGAAGGGAGCAGCGATGCTTCCAATCAAGCCTAATTTCTAATGCAATTTTAGTACTAATGCTATCCCCCAAGTGTATATTAACTGCAAGTATCCCTATAATTCCTTGAAGACAGTAAAAGTCGGTAGCATCATTGCTACTACCAGTCATGTGGAAAATGGTGGATGGTGGTTTGATACTTTGTTATATGCCCAATACCGATGTGATGACAACACTTGAAAAAAAAATTATATAAAAAAAAGATGTTGGTCCTTTTGGACAATTTGTATGATAAATTTGGAAGATTCTGCTGATTCTTTCACCGGTCAATTTGTTGTTCTATGTAAATTTGTAATTATTGTAATTCTCAAGTCTTACCATGGAAAAGAAACTAGCAATGTATATGTTGTGCTGGGAATGTTTACTTCCTCAAAGCAGGTTTCCTCTTTTATGTTGTTCCTCTAAAATTTTAGGAAGATGAGTTATCGGGCATCAAAATGTACGAGTGTATGTGGGACGATTTTTAAAGTTCATTTAACGCATTTAATAATTGCGAGAGAATGGAACAAACTGGAGCGAAAATGAAATTTGTAACAGATTCATTAAAATTCTTTGCAGAAAATAACCATCACCTAACTCGCTAATTGATATAAAAATGTAAAAAAGAAAGTAGGCATATTATTAGCATATTTTATTGGCTTAAAAGTAGTTTGATCAAATCAGGATTTTTTTTATAAAGAAACTTACGCTATTAGCTTATACAGTAGCACGTTTTTGAAACATTACTTTATTTATTGTTTATGTTTACAATTTTTGAACTTTTATCATCATTATCTATTTAGAATTAATTTTATCAGTGTATGTGGGACGATTTTTAAAGTTCATTTAACGCATTTAATAATTGCGAGAGAATGGAACAAACTGGAGCGAAAATGAAATTTGTAACAGATTCATTAAAATTCTTTGCAGAAAATAACCATCACCTAACTCGCTAATTGATATAAAAATGTAAAAAAGAAAGTAGGCATATTATTAGCATATTTTATTGGCTTAAAAGTAGTTTGATCAAATCAGGATTTTTTTTATAAAGAAACTTACGCTATTAGCTTATACAGTAGCACGTTTTTGAAACATTACTTTATTTATTGTTTATGTTTACAATTTTTGAACTTTTATCATCATTATCTATTTAGAATTAATTTTATCTTTCTTATTCCACTATTTTATTTTATTATTTAGTAAAATATTTAATCGTTATTGATAAAAATTTAAAGCTACCTATTTCCAAAATGAAGTTATCTCTATCGACCGAAACAGTATCAATAGACATCTGCTCATGACCAATTCATTTAACTAATTAACAGCAACTAAATGGAAATTGAAGTCAGATATGAAATCTTAGGTCGGCGACATGGTTGATTCTAGTGTGATCTGTATTCTGTTTATTTTTAACGAGGATCTTTAAAAGGAAACTAGGTAAAAAGGAGCAATGCCATTCATGTTCTGGAGTTCCATGTAAATCAAATGGACAACCAAAAAAGAGGCAAAAATACTACATTGAAAGGAAGGATTGCCTTTAGATGATTGTTGTTGCTGTTACTCCTAGCACAGAAAGTGAATTTAATAAGCAAAATGCACCTTATGAGAACCTATATTTTTCAAGGTTGCAGCGGTTTACTGAAGAGTAAAAATATTTGACAATGACATAGGTTAAACAGATACATTGTGAATTATGATTCCTATTTCTACTCTAACCTTCACTTTGCCCTTTTCAAGCTCTCTTGTTGCCTTTGGGGCAGATTTACTAAATAAGCAGATCACACTTGATACTACACCGGATATCATTACTGATATACTATTATTATTAAGACAAAGAAATTACTTTTTCATACACATGCATCTAAAATTCTAATATATTGTTGAAGATGCTCATTACTCGCATGTAATTTAGAAAGAATTCTCCCTACATTGACAGGTGCCTCGGCATTTAGCCAAGGAGGCAACCCAACTTAATCCCCACTTACATGCTTCGTAAAGACAAAGACCCATTCAAACCGATTGCGGTGTGGCGGAACAGGTTTTCTTTGCTCTGCAAATTGGCGTGCTGCCTCTCCAGCACAAAGAGATAAATATAAAAGTAAAAAAAATTAAGAAAGAGTGAAAAGTGATGGAAAAACAAACTAGAGATAGTCTACAGAGAGTGCTGCAGGAGAGGAACCGTATCACATAGCCCCAGGGCAACGCAGTGGTGCAATAGCACAGTGGCAGGGCAAAACATTGCTTTTTGTTGCATTTCTCTTGTATTTTAAAAGTATTTCTTATATTAACAATGTTACTCACATGTGGTGCCACATGGTAATAACTAATAAGCATAAGATCAGTACTTTAAAACATCTTACATGAAATTTGCTATGAACTTTAAGATGTAATCCACTATATTACAAAAGAAGATGACATACACAACAAATATTGTCTGTAATCCTACTTCCTTTCGAGCTACAGATCAGTCTTGCATCTTACAGCTGTCCAATTTAGTTGTCTGATCTTCAATATATTGCCTAATGTAAAACTTGTCAAAGTAAAAGGATTGCAACCATTACGGTTGTCAACAAAAGAGAAACAAAGAAATGAGAAAACAACACTACAGATAGACAAAACCAGATCTTACAACTTGATTGTACACCACATACCAACAGACAAGCCTAGTGTACCTCTCCAGTTAGAAGCAAGCAACCCAATAAAACATATGTAAGCACAAATTGAGAAGCTAATGATCTCTCCACCTGGGACTTGAGATGGGGAAAAAACCTGAAGGAGATAACGGAAACATAAGGCCAGGAGAAGGAGGGGGTTGGGGGCCAGGGCCTAAAATCCCCGACTGTGAGAATGGGAAATTCGGTGTAAGTGGTGATGGAAACTGAATGCCAGGTGACAGTAGAGGATAAGGTGACCGTGGGGATAGCAAATTCATGTAGCCAGTTGGAGAAGGCAGGAGGAATTGGGAGGTTGGAGAAGGTAAAAGGGGAGGGCCATTTGCTTGGGGTGAAGGGAGACTAGCACCCATAGGTGGAATAGGACCATTAAATCTCGGAGAAGGGTACATGTGCATGGGAGGATTAGGAAGCAAGGCAGATGAAGGAGGAACATTGCCCGGCACTTGAGGTTGAGCCTGAGCTTGGTTACCACCCCTTGGACCTGGATCCATTATTGAATTCTGAAGGTAACGCATATAAGCAGAGATGGGTGACTCAGTCGTGTTAGACCATATATCCCCAGGTGTCAACGGTTGTGGCGACGGTTGTCCGAACTGAGCAGGTCTAGGTAAGGCATTATTGTAAGGAACCGGAGGAGGGGCAGCAGGCACCGGCATTGGCGGGGGCAAGCGAGGCCTATTGATGGGTGTTAACGGGGGAGGTCTAATCTTCTGCAGCCGCATGCTCTGTGGCTTTGGTGGATTGTTTGGAGGTCTAGGTGGAGGATCCTGGGAGGGTGAGGGTGATCCAGTAAGTTGTTGAACAATATCCCGGAAATCATTCTTGCTTATGTTGTAAACCTGAGGCTGAGGCTGTTGTCTAGCACCATTATTGTTACCAAAATTGGGCTGATGTAAAGGACTCTTCCTTATATTTTTCCCCATCTTGTTCACACCCAAACTATCATTATGCCTGTTTTTCGAGTTATCCATTTGCGAAAAAAAACCTTACTACAATCACAAATCACCACTCGATTTCCCCTTCAAGTAAAACAAACCAATGCTCATAAGCTCCCAACGACACCCAAAACTTTAAAACATAAACCTAAAGAACCCGTGCAATTCCAACAATTCTAATACACTAGGTCAACATACCAAGCCTGAGTTGTAATTTAAGCATCCCTGGAGTCAAACAAATTCTAAACTTGCAATCAACACCCGAAAATCCCCAATTCCTTTATCCGAAATACAAATGAATCCCAGCAACAGCAGCAAAGTTAACCCTAGAGGCGAGGTAAAAAGCAAAAAACATACCCTTGTGGAAGCTTGAGGCGAAATTTGAAGGATTGAAGAAAGAGCAGTGGATGAGATCGAAAGTTGAAATTGTGAAAGTGGAAGGAGAGAGTCAAGGGGTAAACGTAACGGGAAGGAGGCAGAGAAAAGGAAGGGTTGGAGGGTGTATGACTTATTCAAAAAGTGTGAAAGAAAGAAAGAAAAAGGAAGGAGTGGAGAAAACCCTAAGAATGGAGAAGAGAAGAGAAGAGAAGGAGTTGGGTGAATGGTCAATGGTGGAATGAATGAATGAATGATGAGGGCATTTTAGGCATATTTATTAGTATTATTTTATTAGGAGGGCCTAATGGTACTTCTCTCTTTGCCTCAAACACTGTTACAGATTCACAGAACGCACGCAGCCCAGACGCATATTGGAAAGGGGATTGCTTCCTCTTCACAATTCACATTCCTTTTTCCAACATACTTTCTTCATCATATAACTCAATAAGGGAGAATCAAATTTTCATTACATATTATTACACTATTTCCTATATAACAAATGCTGCAAAAATAAAAATAAAAAATAGAAATCAGAGACCACAAATATTTTAATTTACTTTGTTAAGTATAATTTTATTAGGTGGAAAATTATATCTATAAATTTCTTCTGAAAGGAAAATAGTGAAGACTGAATCTTAATAACACTTTTATTTTCTATAAGTCTTGCGTTCAGAGCTGATATATTCGATTAAATATAATTATTATTTGAATAAATTAACTTCCAATAACCTATTTATTTGATTGTATGTTATTAAATTACAACCAAATAAATAAGTGATTTATTCAAATGAAAAGAAAAAAAAATAATAGATATTAAGTAGTTAATTTTTAATCGACTTTTATTCCTGTAAGTCCTTCTCTCATTCGAATAAAATTGTGGTAGTGTCTTCAATTAAATGCAAACATCATTCAAATAAATCAACTTGTAGTGATTTATTTATTTAGTTGTAATCAAATAATATGTGTGTTATTTTCTTGCGATCAAATAAATAAGTTTGATTTATTCAAATAAAAATTTAATTTAATCAATTATGTAGAAAAAAATTATTAGATACTACATAATTAATTTTGAAATAGTAAAATAGTAATTTTTTTTAATTATAATTTCTTTTTTTTTTTATCCATTCAAATCAAACAACTCTATAACATTAATTATTTCTCTTCTATTTCTTAAATATTTCTTTTTAAACTAAATAATCTTATTTTCACCTTTTTCTTTATTCATTTATTTTCCTCTCTTCTATTTCTTCTTTTTTAAAACATCTCTCTTCTATTTTTCTTTGTCTTATTTCTTATCTATTTCTTCAATGTTACATAGTGGATAGTATTCCTTCAAAAATTGTTACAAATTTGAAATTTTCTTGATGATTATGGTCAACATAGATCGGTAAAGTTATTTACTTCCCTTAATCAGGATTTTTTGATAAACAAACTCATGTTATTTGATCAAATCAGGATTCTTTTTTATGTAAACAAAGTCATGTTATTAGCTTATACAGTAGCATCTTTTTAAAATGTTATTTTATTTATTGTTTATGTTTACAATTTTTGAATTTTTTATCATCATTATCTATTTAGAATTTATTTTATATTTCTTATTCCACTATTTTATTTTATTATTTAGTAAAATATTTAATCGTTATTGATAACAATTTAAAACTACCTGTTTCCAAAATAGTTATTTGAAAATTTATTAAAAAATTTAAAAAATACTTTCAAATTTAAAGGAATATAAGTTCATTTAATTATATTAAAATGTGTTTTATGTTGAAAAAGGAGAAACACATCACTGAACACACACAAAAAAATTAATAATTACAAATCATTCATCATATTTAAAAGTAATAAATTGTTCAGTTTTAACGAGAATTCAATAAAATCGTCAAATATTATTTTTATGATATAATATCATTAAAATTATAAAACAATTTATTTAATTACCTCATTTCATTTAATAAAAATATTAAAAATGAGAATCAAATAAACAAATTCTTAATATATTACGTGAAATAAATTAAAATATGAAAAATGGTTATATTTTATTTTTTAATAATGTTATTTATCGTTCAACCATATTGTTTATACACAAGATTCAAAATCAAAGTTTTATTTAAGAAGATTAAATTCAATTCCATTTGAACAAAATAAATGATTATTTAATAATATATGTAATTGTTAAATTTGAAGTTATGATTAAGTAATTGAATAGTTACTATTTTTATTAAGTATATCCAATTTAATAAACTAATTCATAAATTTTTAATTTTTAGCTAATTTATTTATTATTATATTTTGAAGAGCGATTTATTTATTAGTTAAACACACCCTAAAAGAGTGAAGAAAAATCTAACAAACATGTGACAATTATACCAACAAGTTTAATGATGTGTTTGGATGAAAAAGTTTAGAAATTTAAAAAATTTGAAATTCTTAAAATTTAAATTTTTTTTTATCTATCTTTTTTTAAATATTTTATTTGCATAAGTCAATTTAAATTTCTTAAAATTTAAATTTTTAGTTTAAATATAGTAATTTGATTTTTATCGTGGATAAGATTCGTTATATATATATATATAATGAGATTTTAAAATTAAATTTTATAAAAATAAGTATTAATTAATTTTTAAATATTTAATAATTTTAAAAATTAATATTAAATAATTTAAAAACATTTTTAAATATTTAATAATTAAAAATTTATTTAATATTTTTTATGTCAACTTTTGAAAGAGAGGTGAGAGAGTTAGGAGATAAAACAAAAAGAAAACATGGAGAAAAGAAAAAATATAAAGAGGGAGAGATGAAGAGAGAGAAAAAAAATAAGAAAAAAAAAGATAAAATTTAGAGAGAGAAGAAAAAATTGGAAGAGGAAAAAAGGAGAGAGAAGGGAGACAATGGAGGGAGGGAAAAAATAGAAAATAAGAGATGGAAGAGAGAGAAACAAAAAGAAACATAGAGATAAAAGAGAAAGATAAAAGATGAAAGAAATAAAATGATATACAGATGGGACAAAAAATAAAAATTATAAAAAAAATTAAATTCTTACTATTTTAGGAGAATTTAAAATTTTACTATTTTAAATTTTTTTGATAAATATTTAGATTTCAATTTTTTTTATATAAATTTTTCATTCAAACAAAATATTTCACCTTAAAATATATTTAAAAAATTAAAAAAAAAAATTTCTCCATTTAAAATTTTCATCCAATTCAAAGAGGCTTTACTAATATTACTATAAATTCAATTCATTATGTCACAAAAAAAAAAGAGAGTTGAATTCGTTGAATGTTGAAAGTAAAAACAACTTACTATGAAATTAGCTAACCATTAAAAGAATACATGGTGCACTATACAACTACTATATGATATATTATGGGTTGGAGTATCTTTTGTATTCCCTTTTAATACATTTTATTTTGCCTAGCAAAAAAAAACTACTATATGATATAAACTAGCAATAAGATGTTTATGATGTCATATTTAAAATTGTGTTTATTTTTATTAAATGTTAAATAAGTCTCATTTATATTTAATATTTATCAAAGAAATAAGTACAAGATTTTGAACATGAATTTGTTACTTAAATTTTTTTTTTACATATTATTTTTGTACTATCCACATCGGACACTGAGCTCAAGCTCGGCGCCGCACAATCTCGGATAGGCGCTACATGATATCGGTCAAAACAAAGGTCCAATGCCTATTGGGCCACGGCCAATCTCAAGCCCAAATCAACGTTACTCTCGCCTAAGAGAAAAACTATAATTCAGATCAAGGTACGTGCACTATATAGATGAGAGTATGAAACGATTACACTATTAAAGACTAACTTTAGCATCAAAGTCTCTTTTGCAGGTACCACCCTCACTTCGGAGCAGCTGACGTACCCAGCAAGGAAGGCTCACCAATCTTGCCCAATAGATCGTCCCTCCCAACCGATCTCCAGTAAGAACAATTTTTTTACATATAAATTTGTTACTTCTACAAAAATAAAAAACACATGAAAATATCAACGTTTTGCTAATACTTTTTTTCCCTTGCTACAAACTACTCATTGTAATGATTAAATTTTATTATAATATTTCTTTTTCCCACAAAATAATTTTACTCAAAGCATGATTAAGTGTAAAATTATAATTGTCCACTTTATGAAATATTAATTCCTTTGATTTGGATATATAGTTGAGTTTAATTAACACTTTGTGATTTTTTTTTAAATATATCAATTCTTTTTATTTAAATAACCTGGGCTGGTTATTGTTTACCTAAATAATCCACTTTGAAGCCCAAGTGAGAAATCGGTTACCCAGTAACCGATTTCTCAATTGGGTTTTTTTTCTTTTCATTTTTTTGTTTTCAGATTTTGTAAAATAAAAAAAAAATTATTCACTTTTTGATTTTCATATTTTTTTAAAAAGTATAATTAATTTTAAAAAAATATATTTAATATTTAAATTAAATAATTTATAAAATATAATAATTAATAATAAAATTAATATTATATTTATTTATAAATTATAATATTTCTGATTTTAAATTTTTTTAAAATAAATATAGTTAATTATAATTTTCAGAATTATATATAAAATTATAAAATTTTGTATAATATTTTAAAAAAGTGTTAAAAATAAATAAAATGTTAAAACTTATTTATTATACTAAATTTTAGAATTATAAAATGAATTTTATTATTTAAATTAAATTTATTAAATATAGAAAATTGAAAATTGTAATATAATAATAAATATATATTAAGTACACTAATTTTAACGGTTACATCATTAAAATGAAAATAACTTAAAAAAAGACACAATTTAAACAAACTTCAAACATAATAGATAAATAACATGAAACCTAAATCATATAACATTAGTTGTCTAACTTCATTGCTTGGTCAAGGTATTTTTCAATCGCTTCCATCCCATGCAATAATCCAATATACGTCGTGGTAGCATACAATTCAAGACTTGTTAGGTCGTGCAGTTCTCTGAAGAATGAAAACATACACCCCACATCTTCATCATCCCTAAGACGACATGCTGTATATTTATATACACCACCGATACATAAATTTGGGTATCGGTAGTGAATATCTATGACAACTTTGTAATGAGGAAGATTAAGATTATTATTAATAACCTGCTTAAGTTGCTGATAAGTCATCATGTTGCTTACCATTAGGGTTTTAACCTCGTTGCTAACAAATGTATCTCCATGCTCAGTGGAGACAATTTGTCCATCATAGTAAATAGTGGCTGGAACAGTTAACAACTCCATTGATTGGATGTTTCAATCTGTTGCATTTTTGTAGCTTGTATTT